GTCTGGGTGTTTCTCCCATTCCCAGTGCACAGACCCAAACGAGCAGCAGTCCTGGTCTCAGTGCAAGCAGGCCTGGTTAAAGACCCAAGCAGGCAGCAGAGATCTGCCTCTGTTGGTTCTACAGGTGGGCAACACTGACACCAAGGAACAATGTCCAAAGGGGCTCAGCCTGCTGGGTCTGTTCCATGTGCCACCCCAGGAGAAACAGTTTAGGTGTAGAAAAATGCAGCCCCACCATCCCAGGCTCCAAACACAGAAGGACAGCAGCTCCTGGTGCCCTGTGAGAGGTCCCTGCTGTGTCACAGCTTCCCAGTCTAACCAGCATGACTCTGAGACCTCAAAAAGACCACAACCTACCCTCCCATCTCAGACTGAGGGGTAGTTTTGGTGATGACAATGGTTTTCCCCAGCTTGGATTCCAGGTCCACTTTGTAGTCTCGGTGCCGCAGAAGTTCTCTTTTGACAGGCTGAGCTGGTTTGCCTAAAACATAAACCAAAGGTCAAGCTTGACATGCTGGATTTCATATTCCCCTTGGTGCAGAGGGACCTGCTGGCTATCTGGGACTACCTGATCCATGCAGAAAATGCACCTTTGTTTTTAAATCAGTAAAGGATAGAATTTCCTCCTCACTGTTTCCTGGTTCCTATTAGAACCAGGTATCTCTGAGGTTCTGACTTGAGTCATATTCTGAGATCTTGTTTCCAGCAACTGATTGTTCCCCTCCTTCCCCAAAGAAGTGTCAGCCCCTAGAAAGGTTCTCAGTAATTTCTTTTGTCAAAAAAATATACTGAGTGGCAAACAAAGAAGAAAGGGAAGGAGTAAGCCAGCTCTTCCCCTTTGGGATTCAACTTCCCGCTGCTCTCTCCCTCCCAAATTCCAAGGGTTTGGGAGCCTCACTGCCAACCCAGCACACTGCTCACCATCCTTCTTTTCTCTCTCCTCCGTGAGCCGCTTCTCTGCGAGTTTCTCGTACTCATCCTTGTCCCACTTCCGGCGGAAGTCCAGGTTCTTGGTCTGGGAGGGAAACAAAGTTCATTAGCATTTATTACAGTCTGATCACCTCTGAGAGGGTAAAGAGGAAAAATCACTTGGCCTGTGAGGCCAGTGCAGAAAATTAGGAGAATTACACTATATCCCCCTGTCCTCCGTTTTCCATTCAGGAATTATGGATGTGGTTTAAGATAATCACTCTCAGCATGCCTCCAGCTACTACTAGAATAATTTCAGAGCACTAAAAGAAGAAATGAGTTGATCTTAACAGCTCCTGAGATGATCATCCAGGCTTATGCCTTGAAAAATCAGACTCAAATGGGATTGAAACTGATGGATCTCAGACCTGGGAAGTGCCCCCTGACAAACACAGCAGCAGATTGCACCTCCTTCTTCCAGAAACCAAAAGAATCCAAGCTGCAATGTCAGACAAGGAAGCTCCAAACACAGCCTGAGCTACAGAGACTGATTACCCTGCAGGAGCAGGGAAGGCTGTGCCTGTCTGCTCTCAGCAGTGTCTACGTGTTGCAGGCATCAAAGTGCCGAGCTTGCCATGAAATCACAGGCAACAGTGTGGGATTTCCAAGTGAGCACACGTACAAGCAAATCAGAACAAGCTCTGAAACCCTGTCTGTCAGGGCAGGGCTTGGAGGTACCAGGGAAGCACCTGTACAAAATCCACAGGTTTTGCTGTCCTCCTCCTGCAGCTTCACATAGAAAAGGGCAGAAACACCTCCCAAGGCATGCTGGCCCTTTGGGAGCTCCACAGAACTATCTGGCAGTGACAGGATACTTTAAAAGGGCAGAAACACCTCCAAGGCATGCTGGCCCTTTGGGAGCTCCACAGAACTGTCTGGCAGTGACAGGATAAAATCCTGGAATGGTTTGGGTTGAAGGGACCCTAAAGATCATCTTGTTCCACACCCCTCTGGGTTGGAATGGTTTGGGTTGAAGGGACCCTAAAGATCATCTTGTTCCACACCCCCCATGGACAGGGACACCTTCCAGTAGCCCAGGTTGCTCCAAGCCCCATCCAACCTGGCCTTGAACACTTTCAGGGATGGGGCAGTCACAGCTTCTCTGGCACCATGTGCCAGGGCCTCATCACCCACAGAAGGAAGAATTTCTTCCCAGTAGTAAATCTAACCCCATTCTCTGGGAGTGGGAAGCCATTCCCCCCTGTCCTGTCAGTCCATGCCCTTGTTCAAAGTCCTTCTCCAGCTCTCTTGGAGCCCCTTTAGGCACTGAAAGGTGCTCCAAGGTCTCCCTGGACAGAGACTGGTGTTCAGTCTACCCCAGGCTGAATAGCCCCAGCTCTCTGTCTCCAGAGCAGAGGGGCAGCAGCCCTTGGAGCACATCCATGGCCTCCTCTGGGCTCACTCCAACATGTTCATGCCTCTCCTGTGCTGGGGCACAGGAGCTGGACACAGCATGTGCATGAAGATGAATTCAGGCAAGGATGAAATCAGGTGAAGCTGGTATTGAAGAAACCAAAGACTTCTTTTTTTTGGGTGGATTTCACTCAGTCCCCAATGCTGAGGGCAGAAGTGATTGGGGAATTCCTATTCCACTCACATCCACTCTGACCAACCCAGCTCAAGCTCTTCCCAGCATTTGCCCCATCTGCAGCTCAGGCCCCTACACCTGGCATCAGTCACGGTTTCACTCAGCCACTCCCTGAATTTCCTGAGCAGATAACCCTGCTTTGGATCGAGCTGCATTTCCCTCAGCATGGCAGGGAGAGCCTCTCAGTTTCACATTAAAGAAAGGACAAGATGTATTTAAAAACACCTCCGGGGGAGAAGGACCCCCCTCACCCCACACCCCACCGCCTTCTCCGTTCAGCCAAATCAAGAATCCAATCACAATCCAAAGGACACAAATCCCATTTGGAGCTACAGCAGCAGCACAGCCATTTAAAGTTCTCTCCTCTGGCAATCCTTCAAATGGAACGAACAACTACTGATAGGGATGAAAATGCCTTGGGGAGGCGTAGAAAAATTCTCATTTATTCCCAGAGCTTCTTAAGCACTTTAAGGATGTCGTAACAGGTTTTATTAACCACCCTGAGCAAAAGAAAAGAAAATATCACTGAGTGTAAATTAACGTTTGGGGGTATTTTCCAGACTCTCCTGCATGCCAGGCATTATCACAAATCGTAGCTGGTGGGAGCCTGCAGAGGGGGAGGTTTATTAGCTGCTTCTCTCTCCTGTTGCAATAAAAGGAAAATAGTCTTTGCAGCTCTTTTACCAATCTGCCTCATCCAGGCGTGGGGAAAGGAATTAAACTGAACTGCGTGACAAGATCTTGGTTGGACAATATTTGAAGGGATGTTTCTGAATTGCTCTGGTGGAGGCAAGGGGGCTGCAAGCCCCCAAAATCTTTATCTCAGAGCTGTTTTGGGTGACAGAGAATGCTTCCCAAATTAATAACAACGATTAATAACCAGAAGTGCCCCACAGCCTCCTGGAGATGGACACCAATGGTGTGCTCAGCATCAGCACCAGAGCCTGTGAAACAACACAGGAGTCTCAAGCCAGGCTCAATCCAACAGGAATTGGCAGCTGGCAATAAGCCACAGGCCCCACCTCCCTCAGAGGCAGACATCCTGCTCCTGACCTCCCGCACTGCATGGAATCAATCCTGGAATGGTCTGGATTGGAAGGAACCTTGAAGACCAGCCAGTCCCACCCCCTGCCATGGGCAGGGACACCTTCCACTATCCCAGGTTGCTCCAAGCTCCATTCAGCCTGGCCTTGAACATTTCCAGGGATGGGGCAGCCACAGCTGCTCTGGGCAGTGCCAGTGCCTCACTTCTCAGTAAGTGGCTTCAAAGAAGGAAAGATGGGCCCAAACCCCTCAAAAACACAGCCCCGTGCTGCTGACAGCTTTGGGATGTCACTGCAGGTGTGCCAACAGCCTGGCTCTCCACTCAGGCTACACCTGCAGCACCTACCTTACCCATCCCATTTTAACACTCACAGAATCATTTAGGTTGAAAAAACCTCCAGAACCATCAAATCCAAGCTGTGATAGATCCCCACCTTGTCACCCAGTCCAGAGCACTGAGTGACAATCCGGTCAGTCCCTGAACACCTCCAGGGATGGTGACTCCACCACGTCCCTGAACAGCCCCTTCCAATGCTGGACAGCCCTTTCTGGGAAAAATCTCCTCCTAATTTCCAACTATACCTCCCCTACTGCAACTTTTGAGGCTGTTTCCTCTCATCCTGTCGCTGGTTCTCTGGGAGCAGAGCCCAGCCCACACCTGGCTGCACCCTCCTGTCAGGGAGTTGCAGAGATGTTTCTCCATCAGGCCAGGAAAAAGGTGACCCTTTCCCTGGGGAGGGAAGGGAAGGGAAGGGAAGGGGAAGGGAAGGGGAAGGGAAGGGGAAGGGGCTGCCTGCACGAGCCGTCGCCCAGAGCCTGCAGCTGGGTGGGGGTCCCCCCAGGGGGCTGGAGGTGGGTGGGCACCTCCACCCGGAGGCAGCTCCATCTCCTCACGCTCCCCGGCTGGGACAGGCCAAGGTCCGGCCCTGGGACGGGAGGATCACAGAACCACGGCTTGGAAAAGTCCTCTGAGATGATCGAGTCCAGCCTGTGGCCCAGCACGTCCGTGTGACCCGGACGAGGGCTCCGAGTGCCCCGTTCCGTGCCTCAAACACCTCCAGGGACTCCACCGTGGGGGGATCGCGCCGGGGCCACCCCGCTCCCAGCCCTGAAGGTCCCAGGAGAACGCTAACCTCCCACCGCCCCCACACAGAGCTGTACAGAGCAGGGACGAGCCCGCTCCCACCCCACAAACCCCCGCGCCCCCGGCGCCGCCAAGCCCGGTAGGAGCAGCGGGGGCGGCCGAGCGGCCGGCAGGCCTCGCTGCGAGGGCAGCCGCGCTGCGAGGGCAGCCCCGGCGGCAGCACCTACCCCGCTGCCCGACGCCATGGCGAGCCCAGGGCACAGCACCGGCAGCTGTCGCGCGGCGCCGTAAAGCGCGGCCGCCCGCGCGGTCACGTGACGGCGCCCCGGTGCCCCGGTGTCCCGGTGCCGGCCATGCTGCGCCTCGGCCGCTGCCTGCCGGGCCTCGGCCCGCTCTGCCTCGCCGGCAGCCGCGGCAGCTTCGCCCGGTCCCGGCTGCCGGCCGGTGAGCGCGGAGCCCTGTCCCGGCAGGTGCGGGCGGCGGCGGCGGGCGGCGAGCGGCTGCCGGTGCTGAAGACACCCAAGGTAAAGGCGGGAGCGGCTCCGGTGGTAGCGGGTGTGTCCCCGCGCCCTTGCCGCTGACGGCCGCTCTGTGTCCCGGCAGGGCACCCGCGACCACCCGCCGGCGCAGGCGGCGCTCCGTGAGCGGCTGGTGAGCGCCGTGGTGTCCTGCTTCAAGCGGCACGGCGCGGCCGCCATCGACACCCCCGCGCTGGAGCTGCGGGTGAGGCGCGCCCGGAGCTCCCTTCGCCCTTGGGTGCGGAGCGGACCCGCCCCGGGGGCTGCGGGGCCCCTCCGTCCCTCCTGGGGGACCGGGGAGCGGCCCGGGGCTTGGGAGCGCGCTCCGTGCGGGGCATGGCCAGGCGGGCAGGGCAGCTGGGCAGTCACTCCTGGTTCTTTTTGGGGGCACGGGGAGGTGGGCTTGGGTCCGAAGGGGTTTGTGTGTGATGCCCGGTTCGTGGGGACCCTGCTCTGTGCCCCATCTCGGGGGACCCTTCAGCCCAGAGCCACCCGTCACCAGCCCCTTTGTCCCTCCCCAGGAGACGCTGGTGGGGAAGTATGGGGAGGGAGCGAAGCTCATCTACGAGCTGCAGGACCAGGGAGGGGAGCTGCTGGCCCTGCGCTACGACCTCACCGTATCCTGTGCTCCCGAGGGCTGGTGGCACCCTGAGGGGATGGTGGCACTCTGAGAGGATTGTGGCAGACCAAGGTAGTGGCCACCTCTGCCTGGAGGGATCGCTCTTACCCTGCCCTGCCTGCAGGTCCCATTGGGGTGGTGGCAGCCCCCTTGGCCATCCCTGCTGGTCTGGCTGTCATTGTTCCACACCATCTCCCAGCCAGGCCCACAGCAAAGTCCCTTCCTGCTGTGGACGTGCACCAGTATGCTCCACTGTACTGGTTGTATCTCCTCACACTTACAGTCCCCACCTCTGCTGTGCCCATCCCACCTTGCTAGTGCCACCTGGAAAGGTGTTTGCTGCAGGTGTCCATCCCAGGCCTTCTTAACCTCCACATTTCACCAAAATCTCTTTCCTTCAATGTCCATGTAGCTGTGCCATGCACTGAATTCCCACTGATCCCACTGTGAGAGGGTGGAATGATAAGAGGGTGCCCTTGTGTATGTGACATTGTCACACAGTGGGTCTGGAGGAGGAAATGGAGCTGTCCCAGTGTTGAAGGAGCTCTGGTGGTTCATTGTACTCATCCTTAGCCTGGGGGATGATCTCCCCAGAGGTCATGCAGTTATAGAGAATCACAAGTTGGAAGGTACCTGCAAGAACTGTTGAAGTCCAGCTCGTGACCCTGCACAGGACACCCCAAGAATCTCACCATGATTGTGAAAAAGTTGGGAAGCGGCTGGCAAAGGGAAGGGGCAATGGGAGGCTTTGGGGTTCAGCTTCTACAGCTCTGGGGATCTCCACGTTGCCATCCTTAACTCCTGGGGCCCAGGTGCCCTTTGCCCGCTACCTGGCCATGAACAAGATCACCAAGATGAAGCGCTACCACGTCGCCAAGGTGTACAGGAGGGACAACCCGGCCACCACGCGCGGCCGCTACCGCGAGTTCTACCAGTGCGTGAGTGTTGTGGAGCCAGTGCTGCCACCAAAGCCACGAGGCCAGCAGGGTTTTCCCACTCCATCTGCTGCAGAGCAGCAGGGTGTGCCTGGCTAAGGCCCCCCCTGGCTCTGCCAGGAGCTCCCATCACTTCTTCTGCCCCCAGGACTTTGACATCGCCGGTCAGTTTGACCCGATGATTCCCGATGCCGAGTGCCTGAAGATCGTGCACGAGATCCTGAGTGACCTGCAGCTCGGGGACTTTGTCATCAAGGTGAGACTGGCTGGGTTCTCTGTGCCATGGTGGAAAGCAGTGGTCATTGTTCTGTGGTTTTACACAGTAGCACCTGCTCCTACTCTAAGGCTTGACCCAGAAGTTCATCCCACGTCTCTGCCTCCTCATGGTGTATATGCAAAGGCTGGACCTCAGCTTGGGCATGCCTTAAGCTGGGAATACCAGGAGTTCCTTTGAGGCTGCAGTCAGCAGAGTTCTCTCCAGGACTACCCGCAATCTGCAGAATTCCTGTTGCTGACTCAATCCATATAGTCACAGGGTGCAGAGGTTTTCATACCTCTACACCTTCTCTTCCCATGGAATTTGGGTGCGGGGGGAAAGGCATGAAGAAATGCCAATAGCTGCAGCTTCCCACACACTAGGAAGAAAATAAATGACATCAGAGGGTGCCCCTGAGGTAAGTGTGCCTCTCCCTCCCCCAGGTCAATGACCGTCGGATTTTGAATGGTGTGTTTGCTGTCTGTGGTGTTCCAGAGAGCAAGTTCATACCTGCCTGCTGCACCGTGGACAAGCTGGACAAGGTCAGCATTGGGCTCATGGGGAGACGCTTCTGGTCGTGGGATGAATGTCATAAGCTGGGCAGTGTTATGGCTGTTCTTATTGAGAAGAGTTTCACAGCACCTGAGTTTGGGTCTGTAAAGGATTTGAGGAGTTCTTGGGCCTGGTTAAGAATAAAGCCTGGTGATTTGTTAAAAATTCTTGTGAGAGAGAGGCATGGTTAGTGAGATTGCTGACTGTTGTTCCACACAGCTGTGCACATGTGGGCTGATGGAGGCAGTGGGTGAGGACAATGTCCTGCAGCAATTGATGCCCTGCTCTCCCCTCACAGGTGCCATGGGAAGAAGTGAGGAGTGAGATGGTGGGAGAGAAGGGGCTCTCTCCCGAGGCTGCGGATCGCATCGGGGAGTATGTGCAGCTCCACGGTGAGCACCACGGGTGCTGCCCTTGGCCCTGTTCTGGGCTGGGGATGGAAGGTGCAGGGCACACACCTGGCTGGGCCCTGTTCTGGGCTGGGGATGGAAGGTGCAGGGCACAGAGCTGGCTGGCCGGGGCCGCCGCGCCGGGCGCTGCTGGCCTGGCACAGCTGAGGCACGGCTGGTCCCCACAGGTGGGCTGGAGCTGATCGAGCAGCTTCTGCAGGACCCAAAGCTGTCCCAGAACAAGGTGGCCAAGGAAGGGCTGGGGGACATGAAGCTGCTGTTTGAGTACCTGACCCTGTTTGGCATCACCGGGAAGGTGAGGAGGTGTGGGGCAGGAGGGGCGCTGCCCGGGCGGGCCCTGGCGAGCGGGCGGTGACGGGGCCGCCCTTGTGCCCTGCAGATCTCCTTCGACCTGAGCCTGGCGCGGGGCCTGGACTATTACACGGGGGTGATCTTTGAGGCTGTGCTGCTGCAGCAGGAGAACGAGCACGTGGAGGAGCCGGTCAGCGTTGGGAGCGTGGCCGGGGGCGGCCGCTATGACGGGCTGGTGGGCATGTTTGATGCCAAGGGCCGCAAGGTGCCCTGTGTGGGGGTCAGCATCGGCATCGAGCGCATCTTCTCCATCCTGGAACAGAGACTGGAGGTAGGTGATGCAGGCAGTGCATTGGGGAAGCCTCTTGGAAGCAAAATATTGTTTATTATTCTCCAGCTCCACAGTACTCAAGGGAAAATAATTTTGGGGTGGCGCTTCCCATGCCTAAATATTGACACACAGAAGACAAGAGACCTTTCATGCAGCCTGTCAGGATGCAGGTGTGGGCAGCTGAGGGCAGCATTCCTTAGGAGATGTCAAGGAAGTGTTAGAGACAGCCTGGAGCTCTGGGCTTGACTCTGAGCTTTGTGCCCCAGTCGCTTTATTCTTGTGTTTTGCCTCTGAAGTTTTCTGTCCTGGGGATTTTGAAGCAATGAATTTGGTAACAGCTCTGAATTCACTCTAATAAACCCAGGAAAGCCTCTGTGGAGATTCATCATTTTGTGTTTGGTTCCAAGCCTGTGATTCTGTGCAAGTGAAGCTTAGGCAATGTGTTTGTACCTGAAGAATCAAAGGAGACATTGGGAAGCTGTCCAGGAGGTTGGCCAGGGTCCCCGAGGAACAGCAGCACACAATTAAGTAGTGTGACACAATGCAGAATCTCTGAGGGGCTCATTAAAGGTGCCCAGGTTGTCACTGACTGAGTTAAGATAGATGAGGTGAGGTGTTGGGAGCTGCAGATTCCCACGGAGTCACTCCCATCAATGTCCCTTGTCTGTCCCTTCAGGCTTCTGGGGAGAAACTTCGAACAACTGAGACCCAAGTGCTGGTGGCTACACCTCAGAAACACCTGCTTGCTGCCAGAATGAAGCTCATCTCCGAGCTGTGGGATGCAGGGATCAAGGTAAGGGAATGACTTGGGCTTGGCAGTGTCAGAGGTAAGGGAGAGAGAGCCTGAAGGGAGCTGTAGCACAGCAGACCAACTCCATTAGTTGTGTGTCTCTCAAGATCTGGGCCTGTCTGAGCTCAGAGGGTCATTCAGGTTGAAAATGACCTCTAAGATCATCAAGTCCAACCTTTAGATCTGGGCAGGCAGAGAAGAACAGCCCAGAGCAGTGAAGTGATTGCTGCAGAGTTTGGTTTTGGTGCTTTTTTGCAGTATCCATCAGGGCAAAGTTGGGTTAGTGGTTCACCCTTCCCATTCCCTCCTAGGCAGAGATGCTGTACAAGAAGGATCCTAAGTTGCTGAAGCAGCTGCAGTATTGTGAGGACACAGGGATCCCCCTTGCTGCCATTGTGGGAGAGCAGGAGCTGGCAGATGGAGTTGTCAAGCTGCGAGATGTTGCAACAAGAAAGGAGGTGAGAATGCCCTTTTACACCAGGTTTTAAAGTACTTCCAGACTCTGGAGGTCACTGAAGAGCACTGGGTTTTCTCTCAGTGTTACTTTGGGAGGCCATAACACAAATCTATTGGGTGACTCCAGAAAACCAGTCACAAACTGCGTTGGTATCCTCACTAGTCCTTAAAAGTGCTCTTCTCTACTGCTGCTCTGTTTGCTTTGTAGGTTGATATCCCCAGAGAAAAGCTTATTGATGAGATCAGGAGAAGGCTGGAGCCCTGAGGACTTCCCTGGCTGGAGCTGCTTGGCAGAGCTGCTGCACCACTGGAGCCCTGCAGCTGCGGTCTGGGGACATCCACTGCCCTGAGGCTCATTGCCTCGGCTCGGGCAGTGAGAACTGAGGAGCAGGACGGTTTTAAAGGCTATGGACGGTGCAGTCACCAGGTTAACCTCCTGGTTAGCTTCTCTGAAGGCCAAGTTTGTGGGTTCCTAATGCTGCAGTCCCTGTACAGCCATTCCTGTCACTGTAGGGGGTGGTGGCACAGGTGGATGCGGTGAAGCTCAAGCAGGAGCACGTGGAATCCGGGTTTGGGAGGGGGAATCCGTGGTGTGTTGGGCACCGGCCAGCTCAGGCTGGGGCAGTGGAAGGGCACCCCCGCCCCATTGGGGCAGCGGGGCCGGGCCCAGCCCGCAGCCGGGCGCGGAGCTGCGGCAGCGCCCTGGAGGAGGCTGTGTCCCATCACCGGCTGGAGCAGCTGCGCGGGCCGGGGCGCGCGTGGGAACACTGTATTTTTATATATTAAACAAAACTCCCGATAACCAACCCAAACCGCGCCCTCCGCCTTTTACCTCCCCGCGGTGGCCGCGCTGCGCCTGCGCGGCGGCGGCGCGGGAGTTGCGCGTGCGCGGCGCGGGCGCGGCCTCAGCATGGCGGAGGAGGCGGCGGTGCGGGCTCAGGCGGAGACCGTGCGGAGGCTCAAACAGGACAAGGCCGATGCTGACGAGGTGCGGGGGCTGCGGTGTTCCTGGGGATGGGCTGCCGGGGGAGCAGCAGTATGGCTGGGAGCGGCTGGGGAATGAGCGGGGGCGCCGGCGGTGTTGGAATGGGCGAGAGGGGCTTGGGGGAGCTGCGGGCGGCGGTGCTGGGAGAGGCTGAGGGGCGGTGGGTGCAGAACTGGGAGCACTGGGCGTGGGGCTGCTGGAGTAGGGGTTACTGGGCCAGGGCTGGCGGCACTGGGAAGACAGGGGTCGAGAAGGGTGGAAGGGCTGCGGGTGCAGAGGAGACTCCTGGTGCGAGCTGCTGATAGCGGCGTTAGATTGAATGGAAGGATGCTGGGAGAGTTAGCACTGGGAGGAGGATGCTGGAAACAGCTAATGCTGGTGTGTGTAGCAGGAGCTGGTGGGGATAGGAATGGAGAGATAGCTGTGGATGGTGATGGAGGTCGTGGGAGTCAGGGAATGGTGGGAGTGTTTGAGTTGCTGAGATTGGGGTGCTTGTATGGGAAGTGCTGGAGAGGAGCAGGGCTTGTCCCTCTGGTTGCTGAGAAACCAGGAATAGTGGGTGTATTGAGGTTGTGGAGTCCAGGGCGCTGGGAATGCTGAGGTTGAAGGCAGTGGCTGGGCCTGGTGGGTGGTCTTATCCCCAACTCCCTTCTTTCTCCATCCCCAGATTGCAAAGGAAGTGGCAAAGCTGCTCGAGATGAAGGCGCAGCTGGGGACAGATGAGGGGAAACACAAGTTTGTGCTGAAGACCCCGAAGGTAACTCCCCTGTCCTGTGCCCCTCTATCCATGTGCTCCCCCAGGCACACAGCCAGCACCCCCCACGCTTCTGTGAGCCAAAGTCCAGCATGGCCACACCTGTCTTTGTTTACACTGTTTCTGTTTCTGTTTTACACTTTCACTTTTAGCAGCAAGGGGGAGAGGGATGAAAGCATTCCCTGACAGCATTCAACCCAGATACCCACCAGCTTAGAGACTTGTGGGTGTCCTGTGCCCCTCTATCCATGTGCTCCCCCAGGCACACAGCCAGCACCCCCCACGCTTCTGTGAGCCAAAGTCCAGCATGGCCACACCTGTCTTTGTTTATATTTCTGCTTCCACTTTCACTTTTAGCAGCAAGGGGGAGAGGGATGAAAGCATTCCCTGACAGCATTCAACCCAGATACCCACCAGCTTAGAGACTTCATCTGCTTCTGTGACATTGCCACCACTGCTGGTGTGGTCAGGAAATTCCCTTTGATCAAGCTTTATTGTAGCTGCCCAGTGTGAGAGGGCTCATATCTGTCCTTGGTCTGAGGGGCTCATTTACTGAACAGCTGCTGGAATTTCCGTGTCCTCTTGTGGAAGCACCCTTCCTTTTCAAGTACTTGTTCAGCCTCCAGGCCCCAAGAATAGTGTCCACAATGCAATTTCTGCTGAAATACTTTGTAACCTAAATGTTTCATCACTGGCAGTTGATCACATAACTGTCTCCACACCTGCTTCCATGCTGTGGTGTGGAGATAGTTATGAATCTGTTCCTTAACAAACCAGGCTGTGGTGATGCCACGGACATAGGAAATCATAGACACATGGAGTGGTTTGGGTTGGAAGGACCTTAAAGCTCACCTTGTTCCACCCCCTGCCATGGCAGGGACACCTTCCACTGTCCCAGGTTGCTCCAAGCCCCATCCAGCCTGCCCTAGGACACTTCTAGAGATGAGGCAGCCACAGCTTCTCTGGGCAACCTCACAGGGAAGAATTTATTCCCGATATTTAAAAGTCTCAAAACTGTCCCTTTGTCTGTTTCCTTTATGATATGTTTTGTTGAATGTAATTGTGGTGTGGTGCCTGGAAAGTGAAAGGATATTTCACTGTTTAGAAGTGTGGAGAAGGGGATTTTGTAGCTCAGTTGAGTTTCCAGCCCATCTCAGGCTTGTCAATAGCAGCTGAAGGCTCAGTGATCTGTGGGTGGGGGTGCTTCCTCCTGGTTTTATAAAGTGGAAGTTGGAGGTCTAGCTAATAACAGTGATTTTTTATGTTACTGAGAGCATGAAGGTGGAAATTTAAATACTTCAGTGATCCTTGACACCAAAGAAATGCAAAGGGTGCATGGCCCTGTGAATTGCAGGCAGACATTTCACAGGTCCTGCATTTTGAAAGATGATTTTTCTCTCTGTTTGGAAATTGCAGAGCTGATGGTTGTTGCACAGTTTCAGAGCATGTCTGTCCTCTGTTTCCACCTTTGGGATTGCTCACTGGGCAGGGGTCTGGCTAATAGGTCTGAACCAGAGGTGAGGACAGGTCCTGGTTGCACTGTCAGGCTTGAAAGCACTCAACTCTGACTGCTGGATCTGTTTTATCTCCTTTGTTTCCTGTACTGTGAAACTCCTGACTTAGGTTTCACTCTGCAGACCATGGCAGACTGTCTGAGCTGTGTCCTGATGTTTTTCAACGTTTTTAGTGCTGTTTACCAATACCTGGTGTCTGGACCTGATCTCTCTGGCTTTGTTAGCAGTTTGGCAGCATGTTTCTCATGTCATGCCTCTAACCCAAAGCGTGCTTTGCTCCTTTTGTTCCCTCGTGCCAGGGCACGCGGGATTTCGGCCCCAAGGAGATGGCCATCCGTGAGAGGGCCTTCAAAGCCATCATCTCCTGCTTCAAGCGCCACGGCGCCGAAGTCATCGACACGCCGGTGTTCGAGCTGAAGGTGGGTGAGTGAGGACACAGCAGCTTGGCTGGGCTGCTGAGGATCCTGCAGCTCAGAGTGTTGAGGGCTGAGTTTCCTTCTGTTCCTAGGCATTCTTCCTGTCTCTCCTTGTTTTCTGTGTGCTCCAGGGCTGATCCCTGTCACTGAAGATGCTGTTTGTTTGTGCGTTGTTTTGTTGCAGGAGACACTGACAGGGAAATATGGTGAAGACTCAAAGCTCATCTATGATCTAAAGGACCAGGGAGGAGAGCTGCTGTCCCTGCGCTATGACCTGACAGTATCCTGCCACAGCTGGTGCTGAGGGGCCTTGGCAGGCCTCCTTTTGGGGCAGCACTGTCCTGAGTGGGAGGAGGGACCCCAAACTGACAGGGAGAGCATGAGCAGGCAGTGTGGTTCAGTGGTGCAGAACCTTTGCTCTGTTATTTACTGTGCATTGCTTCTGTTTGGTGAAGGAATGCTTAGAGTCATGGAATATCCTGAGTTGATCCCAAGGATCATTAAGTGCAACTCCTGACCCTACACAGGACACTCCAGCCAAGTTCCTGAGAGCATTCTCCAAATGCTCCTTGAGCTCTCTCAGGTCTGGTGCCACTACCAGTTCCTTGGGGAGCCTGTGCCCAACAGCCCTGTGGGGGAAGACCCTTTTCCCGACATCTAGCCTGACCCTCCCCTGACACAGCTTCATGCCCATGTCTGTGGAAGTACAGAAGATCTGTACTGAGTGTGGTTTCTCCCAGGCAGGGTTCCCAGAGCAGGCTGCTGCAGTACACAGCCCACGTGGCACTGAGATCCAGCCTAAGGGGCTGCTGGAAGAAGCCTGAAGGGACACTTGGAGGCAGCGTGTGTGGGGACCTTGGGGAACTGGGATGAGTCCAGCTGTCTCTTAGCAGTCCTCTGCCCCTGGGGTGCTGGGTGGGAGGCAGTGAGGACCCAGCACTGCCTGTGACTGATAACTGGGGGATGATCCCTTCTCGTTGCCCTCCTTGACTCTGTCTCAGGTGCCCTTTGCTCGCTACCTGGCCATGAACAAGATCACCAACATCAAGCGCTACCACATTGCCAAGGTGTACAGGAGGGACAACCCCGCCATGACCAGGGGCCGCTACCGCGAGTTCTACCAGTGTGTGAGTCTGGCTGTGGGCAAGGGCACTGCTGGGACAGGCTGTGGGCTGGGCAGCGCCTGTGGGCACATAGCACTGTCAAAATAACAGCTGAGTTACCCTTCCCTGTGCCTGTGGAAAGCTCTGAAGGATCCACTCATCTCCTTAGTGTACCCTTATGAGTGTGAAAAACAACTGGAGAGTGGGAGAGTGGGTGTGGCAGCTGTGACACGGTGCTGGCATGGTGTGGAACTTTGTCACAGAGCCCCCAGGTATCACCTTCTTTGCACTGTATGGGAGGGCAGCTCCTTGCTCCATCCCACAGTACTTGTTGGGTGGGTGGTGGGGAAGAATTTCCTTCTGATCACAAATCTGGCAACAGTTCAGCTCTGGGTGTGTTAGCAGGACATACCAACCAGGCAGGGCAATACCATAGCGTACTTCCCTTCCTTGTTTAGTGAATTTTAACTTCAAAGGAAGGGAAAACCAAAGGCCAAATTACAGAACAAGTAACAAAGCAATTTCCTTCATGGCTCTCTCGTGGCAGCCCTAAGGAACAGCTTTGCTCTGCTCTACAG